AGTTCAGTAAATCCTCTGCAGAATACACAAGCTTGTCCAAATAAACACATAAATAAATACATAAGCTTGTCCAAATAAATACATAAATACATAAGCTTGTCCAAAGCAAAATAAACATTGGTCATGCCTGAGGTAGCTTTGCACCACAGTTAGAACAGTATTCCATTGAGGCTGCTGAGGGCAAAAACCATTAGATTCAACCATTGGAAAAGGAGAGGGAGGGGAAGGAGTGAGGGCATGACAAAAACTGTCTTAACTTTTTAAAATGTAAAGACAACAGACAAAGGTAAGTAGACGTGAGTTTTTAGAGGCTATTTAAATACAGTGGGGTCTTGACTTAAGTACGCCTTGAGTTAAGAACATTTTGACTTAAGAACCACTCTCATAGGAAAATATTGACTTGACTTACATACTTAGATTTCAGTTAAGAACTAAAAAAAGCCACGTCGGAGGCAGGGAAAGTGCAAAATTTGAACTTTCAGTTAACTGTTGGCCAGTGAAAAGGGTGCCTGTCTGCTTCCTCACTCCTCCCAGCGTTTAGAAAGTTGATTGGGAGTCTTCAGACTGCCTGGTGCTGCCTGGACTGTATTTTCCCTGCCTTCCCTGAACCTTTCTTGACCTAAGAAAAAAAGAAACAAAATATCCCCCTCTAGTGGTCGTAGGCAGAATAGCAGCTTCCCATTAGTTTCTATGGACGGAAAAGAGCAGATACGGATAAAATGGTTTTCAATGCATTCCTATGGGAAATGCAGATTTGACTTGAGAACATTTTGACTTGAGAACCTCCTTCCAATACGGATTAAGTTCTCAAGTCAAGACCCCACTGTAATTATAACTTTTTGAGCACTTGAGCAATCTAAGGATTTAGTTGCCACATGGAAGACAAAAAGGGACTCAGGGAAGTGGGAAGAGCATGTGCAGAAACAGAAAAAGAAATCAGACTTGAGGCTCAAACTCTGGAAGGTTTTGTGGAGAGTGCTTGTGAGAAGGCGCAGACCCAACTGTGTGAATCATAGGGACTATGACAAACAATAAGGTATCTGAAAGCTCTCTGAAATGTTTTTTTTTTTTGGCACAAGGATCCTTTCCTTTCTCCAACAGTGGCACTGAAAAATATTACAGAAGCACGGTATATCTTATCTTGTGCAGGCTAGGAAAAAATTATCTGATGGTTATCTCTTTTCTTTGCAAAACAGCTGTATACTGTGAATGATATAATTGTATCGCATGCAAACTATAAAAAATTTGCTGCCTTCTGCAAAGAAACCACTCTGCACAAGACACACTTTTAATAAATGTTTGCTGTTTTCTGCATACACGAAAAGAGTTGTATCCTGTGCAGGATACGCTTCTGTCTTATGCAAGCTAAAATAATGTCTTCTGGTTTCAAAAAAGAGAGAGAGAGCTCTGTTCTGTGCACAATACACTGTAAAAACATCAGCTTCATTCTGCAAAGAAAACAGCACCATCCGGTGCAGAACATACTTTCTCTTCTTTGCAAGCTAGAAAAGTATCTATTGTTCTCTCTGTAGAAGAGCTCTATGCTGTGCAAGATTCACCTCTGTCTTGTGAAGTCTATAAAATGATGTCTCTGTATGTTCTCTTGAAATTGTTTTTCACCTGCAAAATCCCTCCATGTTTGTGCATATCATTTGAGAGTTCCAGCAAAACTGTAATCTAATGGCCATACAATAGTAGGTCTAATAGATATGTTGCCATCTGTTTTCTGTACAAAAAAGAGCACTATTTTATGCAGGATAAACTTTTATCTTGCCCAAGACACAAAGTAAAATATTTGAAATTTCTGTTGACATAGTTTTGAGCATAGAAATACCCCCCTTTTGCCAATTTTGACACTGAGAAATCTTGGGGGATGTGGTCCATTGGGAAATCTGGGTAATGAGGCAGGAAAAATGGCTAAAAAGGACATTTTCATTATATCCTGACTGTAGCCCACTTTTGATGCATTTACTGCAACCTGTTAGGACCAAGCTGACACAAGACTCCATGTTGTTTCAAATGGCTAGAGTTCTCAGCCAGTCAGAAAATCATAGGCTCTAACTGGAACCACTCAGGCATGATTTGTACATGTCAGAACACTGCTGTACTGGTAAAAGATTTGAATCTCCCTAAATTTAGTGCTGGAGACAATTCTTTCATCCAGTTTTGTACCCGCCCATAGCACAGACAAGTGTAGGCATAATTAACCATGGCATGTTTCTGGTCTTTCTCTCTAGGATGGGACTTGATGGCACTGTTTTATGGTGGCTTTGGTCCATCCTAAAGAAGAGAATTCAGAAGGTAGTGCTGGGGACTCCTGTTTTAACACCCTGGCTGCTGGCCTACAAGTTCTGTTTCTGTTTTGTCTCCTATGTTATCTACATGGAACCATTGGGAGAGGTTGTCTCAAATTTTGGGGTTCAGAGTCACCAGCACAATACTTTTGTTTTATGTTGAAAAAATAAATTACAGTGGTGCCCCGCGTAGCGAGGTTAATCCGTTCCGGATTAACCATCGCTATAAGAAAACATCGCTAAACGGGAAAGAAAATGCCATTCCAATGGCTTCTGTACTCACCGTTAAGCGAAGTTTTCCCCATCTTCAGCCATTTTCACGCCCTCGGTAAGTGAGGGCAGGGCGCGAAAACGCTGCACACGTCCATTTTGGGCGTCCGGCGGCCATTTTGAAACCACCGAAGAACAGCTGATCCGCGGGGGTCGCAATGTGAGTTTTGCCCATTGCGGCGGTTGGGATGCCTTTGCATTAGCGATCCCAAAAAAGGGATCGCTATGCGAATTCATCGTTACACGGTGCGCTCGTTAAGCGAGGCACCACTGTATGCTGATTTTGTTTACCATTTTAGTGTGGTTTAGACTTGTTATCTAAATATGTGAATTTTGTGTGTTTGTTTGTTTTGTATACCGCCCATCTGGCTACAAGGCCACAACAAGACAAAACAATAACCACATAAACAACACTACTATAAAAATAAACTATAAACATATATTAATCTTAAAATTAGAGATAACTATACATATCACAGTTTGTTAATTAAACTGGTCATCAAAGTGATATCCCCCAATGTTTTTTACAAGCCTAATTTTTCAGAACATAACATCATGGTTTGTCATGAAGCATGAATCAGGTCTGTGATAAAACAGAAGTTAAGCAAGCATCTAAGCAGCCCTGAAATCTGTTTAATGAGAGAACCAAAATTACGAGACTGAGTTATTTATTTATTTATTTAAAATATTTTTACGCTGCCTTTCTCCTTACAAAGGACCCAAGGCAGCTTACACCCATAGAAGACGTTTACAAGCTAAAAACATAAAGTATACAAATATTTTTTAAAACTCAAAACAAAAACCACACTAACTTGGTAAACAAAATCAACACATAGTAGGACCCACTTATCCGCGGGATCAGCATGGAATGGCTGCTCGGGGTGGGCGACAGCCTCTTACCCTGCTCTGCTCTGCCCTGCCCCGCCCTGCCTTCCCTGATCCTAGGCATGGGGAGCCCTTGCCTCATGCAAGGCTCATCCTCCTCTCTAGGTTCAGTTCCCCGCCCGTTCACCTGGACCTTCAGTCTCAGGCAGGTGGGCGGATGCCGCCACCGCCTCAGAGCCACCTCTGGGTCGCAGCACTTCACGAGGAAGCAGACCTAGAAAGGGTGGCTCTCACCCCTATCTATCCCCACCCCTGGCACTTGGCCCCTTCACACACTGTGTGTGTGTGGGGGGAAAGCCTGAGCCTCCTCTCCTGAGGGTGGTGACATGGTGGGGTGGGTGGCGGATGAGGATAAAGACAGGCAGCTCTGGGGACAGCAAAGCCTGGGAGACAGCCCAGCCCACTCCAAAACGAGCAACTGAGGCAGCCCTAGCAAGATCAGCCAGGGCAGCCAGGCAAGATCAATGTGCCTGAGATCAGGAAAGCCAGATACTGCAGAGGAGCTGCGAGGGGAGGGGGGATAGACCTTGCTCTACATTCCCTTCCCTTTCCCATGGCACCCTTTGGGAGGTTCAGCAGCGCACAATTTGGGAAACACTTCTACCTTCTTATAGTGTTTGCTATAATCCAGTTTTCAGCATCTGCAGGGGGCTTGGAAGCAATCCCCCACAGATATAGGGCCCTACTCTAATTGATTTTTATCAAAATAAAACAAAATCACCATACTAATGACACTGAACCTCCAAATTTGAGACAACCTCCCTCAGTGGTTTCATGTAGATATTAAATAACATAGGAGACAAAATAGAAACAGAATTCACAGGCCAGCAGCTAGGGTGTTAGACAGAAGTTCTCAGCACCACCCTCTGAATTCTCTCCTCCAGGAAGGACCAGAGCCACCATAAAACAGTGCCCCCAAGTCCCATCCTAGAGAGTTAGGCCAGAAAGATACCATGATCAAACCAAAAGGGGCACACTCCCATTGCCAGGTTCCTGGGGTAGGTCATCCACCAAGGTGATCAAAGGAGTCTCCATCCCATAACCCAGTCTGAAGTAAGTCTGAAATGGATCTAAAGAGACTGAGTCTGTTTCATCCAGGAACTGCTGTAATTGAGAAGCTGTGACCTACTCCATCACCTCCCTAAGGATGGAATATGAGAGTTTGTCCAGTATCTCGTTTTGTGGGATCCAAGAAGGCTTTTCGAGCAATGATCTTACTAAGGCCTCCTTTAAGCTCATTGGGATCCTACTCAGTTGAAAGGAAGAATTCACCAGTCCTTCTACCCACTTGACCAGTCCCTTTCTGGCAGGTTTTATAAGCTAGGAAAGGCAAGGGCCCAACAGACATGTGGTAACCTTCACTTCACCAAGGGTTCTGCCCACATCAGGCTGAAATAACTGAAACATATGCATTCATATAGGGCCTGCAGAGGCCACGGTTATATCCAGAGGACCTGTATCAACTCCAGTGTTCACACTTACATTTTAATACCATGATTTATAAACGGTGTCATTAAAATGTAAGGATTTTCAAGGATAATCTCTAAATACCTTTCTTTTATGATGGGTTGTGGAAGCATCCATCTCCTCCTCTCCAATATTATCAATCTGTGAGGTTGGACTGCAGTTCATTCTCTCCTCTTCTTGCCTTTGAAGCCTGTCTGCTACTGCCTGAATGGCTTCTGTCCATTCTTCCCTGTCAAACCAGGACAGTGACTATAAATAAATACATTTCATAAATATACAACTAACATAGAGGATGAGGTATAATATGTATACAAACATACTGTACTGAGCTCCACAAACATAGTGGCCAATCAATTGTCCTGTTGCATTATTCTTTCCTGTGCCAGCCATTCAGAGAGAGAGAGAGAGAGAGAGAGAGATTGCCCTCTCAATATTTTTACTCTCTCTCTCTCAATGTAGGTATGAGGGGGGAAGAAAAAGAAAGTGGGGGGGGAGAAACAGAACACATGCAGAGACAAAGAGGATAAGACAGAGAAAGTGCTTCCAACATTTTGTGACTAGTCATACAGGAATAATTTTGCAGCTTTGGACACAGTGTTAAAAAAAGGATGAATGGGCACATGGGCCCCTAAAGTATGTATCCTTAATACCCATTAACTAGAAACAGTACTGGATGATCCCATGTGCACGATACTGTATATTACTTGAAAGTAAATATGACAAATTTCAATAGGAAATTAGACCCCACCAGACCACACCGGACTACTTACCGCACAGTGTGTGTGGCCACCGTCATCTTCTGCACCCCAATCACAGCAGTAGGTTGGCTGCTGCAGCTCCGCCTTCCTGCTTGCCCAGCCACTCCATCAAGGGAGCAGGAGGACAAGTCTCCCTGCTCAGCCACTGAGTGGCTGAGTGAGCAGGGAGGCAGGGCTGCGGTATCCAAGATATTGACACAATTGGGGCACAGAAGATGACACTGGCCATGCACGCTGCATGCCACACAGTAAGTGGTCCGGCAGGGTCTGAGGGTGGGTGTTGATCAAGCTGGCCAGCTGTGCCTGCAGGCTTTGTATCTGTATACAAATACAAATCCCCCATCTTTACAATCTTTATCCACTTAAAATTTACTATTATAATTCCCAAGATATTGACACAACTGGGGCACAGAAGATGACACTGGCCATGCACGCTGCATGCCACACAGTAAGTGGTCCGGCAGGGTCTGAGGGTGGGTGTTGATCAAGCTGGCCAGCTGTGCCTGCAGGCTTTGTATCTGTATACAAATACAAATCCCCCATCTTTACAATCTTTATCCACTTAAAATTTACTATTATAATTATAATAAATCAGAATCCTGATGGATGTCAACTATTTCTTTTGCACTTTCTTGTGTATCTTGTGTATTAACGATCAGTGCTCACAGTGCTAATAACATTTTTTCTACACAAATTGTGATAATGTTTCAAACTTGAAAAGCATAAAAGAACAGATTTTTTAAAATGAATTAGGAGTAATCTTATTTATAAATTTTGCAATAAGAGCACAAAAAATCTATGTATGCCATATTTTCAGCTTAATGAAAACCAAGATGCAGTGAATGGGTTTCTTAAAAAAACTCAGTTTATGTAACAAATCTCACCGTTCTTCTGGTGTATCTACGTGAAATGTCCTTTCTATCACAGTGGTCCACTGAAGACATCGGATTATAAAAGTGTTTGGTTTCGGTCTCTCTGTTTTCATTAGCTGGCATTCTAGAAAAAAAATTAATATGTTGCCTTTATAAAATGGAGACATCAGTTAAATTAGTTTCTTCACATTACAATACCTAAAATATTTGTCTAACATTTACATCTATATGCAACATTAACACTTGATGTATTTTTATAGGCAATGAAATTTAAGCAAGGCTGCAATCGTTTAGACACTTAATTTGGAGGAAAAAACTCCTTTAAATAAATGAGAATTACTCTTGAGTAGACCTGTATAGGGTTGCGCTAATACATCACACTGGGTAGCAACCTAATATTAAGTATACTTTAGAACTATAACGAGTAGAGTTATATTTCTGATAATTTCAAAGTCCTTATAAAGAAAACCAATTATATTACTAAACACAACTGTGACTATGAATCAGAATAACCATGGATCTGTTGAAAAAAAGGAGGCTTCAAGACGCTGAGATAAATAGTATATATACTTTATCTAGTTCTCTTAGGGCAAGGGTAAACGGGGGTCCCTAAGAAAACAAACAAAATGGTAAAACTGTATTATATAACATACCAAAAGAATAAACAAAGAAAGCGACGGCAGCTAAGGTAACGCTGACAATCAGGTAAACATACAGAGTCTCTGCCTCGCTCAGTGACTCAGCACCATGGAAGGAAGGGTAATAAAAGGGGGTAGAGGAGACAAGGCTTTATAAGTCTAATTAGTTACAAGGAACAGATGATGCATTTTAGATATTAATCCATAGTGGGAATAATGTTACAGATTGCCATATCAACAGGATCGAAAGCAGAGATATTATTAAGAAAAGATGGACACAATATAATGAAGAGTTTAAACAGAAGAGTTCCAAGGAGTAAAAATTCCATCAAAGAAGACTCCTGCAAAGAAAAGCCCAGAATTTTAACAAGTGAGATGCAATATGTTCTAAAAGCAATTGGAAAATAAATTACCAGTAATAGATAGCTAGAATGCCAATAGAGCTATTTCAAGGACTGAATCAATCAAAATCCTAATAAGTATATGTCAACAAATATGGAAAACAATGTTAACAGCCTATACAGTAGTGCCTCGGTTACCGATCGCTCCGTTTAACAATGAAATCGCTTAACGACGGGGTTTTGGCCATCGCCAGAGTGATCAGTTAGCGATGGCCTCTATGGGGATAAATCGCTTTGCGATCATGGCAAAGCGACCCTTGCACGTCCGGGAGGAGGTGGGAGGATCCACCCGGAGGAGAGCAGAGCAGCGGGGAGCTCTGGGGGAGCCTCTCATCCCGGCCAAGGGATCCTGTGGAAGCCCCCCCTCCACCAGGAGACCCCACCACCACCACTGGCCGCTCTCTCCTCCGCCGGCTTCCCCCTTTCGCCTTCTAGCCCAGAGTCTGTCCTCCCCCCCTCCTCGCGAGGGGTGCCTCTTGCGAGCCCCCCACCTGCCTTGCCTTGTGCCCAAGGAGCAGAGAGGGCTCCGGGGCTGACTCCTCCTCAGACCAGCAGGCTCCGGTGGTGGCTGCTCTGCCACTGCCAGGCTCCCACTCCAGACTAGGCAGCACAGGGAGCGCCGACCCGCTCTTCTCTCCTTGCCTCCCCTGCCTTCTCTTTTTTTTTCCTTCCCTTCCTTCTCGCTGTCTCGCTCTCTTTCAAGCGGGCTGAGCTCAGGGCCCTTGGCAGCCAATCCCAGCCATCCGGCCTTGGGCTCCGTTGGGGCGAGGGGAAGGGGAACGTGCACCCACGGAGCAGAGAGGGCTCCGGGGCTGACTCCTCCTCAGACCAGCAGGCTCTGGTGGCAGCTGCTCCTGTTCCTCCTGCTGCTGCTCCGCCGCTGCCAGGCTCCCACTCCAGACTAGGCAGCGGTGGTTTCAAAGGAGAGAAAAAGAGAGAAGAAGAAATAGCTCCCTCGACAAGGAGAGCAGATGGGAACATTGCTCCTTCTCGCTTTTGCAATGCAAAGTTTAAAAAGTGTCCGGGAACTTTTCTTGAACAGCTGATCGGTGGTTTCAAAATGGCCACCCGCTGTTTTGCTTCGCTTAAGAGGCACCGAAAATGGCCACCCCTATGGAGGATCTTCGCTTAACGTTAGTTTTGAAGCCCATAGGAACGCATTAAATGCGTTTTAATGCATTTCTATGGGCTTTTAAAAATCGCTTAACGATTAAATCACTTAGGGACCTTTTTTCGGAATGGATTAACGTCGCTAAGTGAGGCACCACTGTATACTGAAAATGTTTGATAACAAGAAAAACCATGAACCATTCTAAAAGAAATGGGTGTGCCACACTATTTAAGTGTTGTGACACAACCTATGCTTCAGACAAGAGGCTACTGTTGGGAGAGAATATGTTGAAAAAAAATGTTTTAGGTAAAATGTCAGACAAGGATATATTCCATCAATGTATATGCAGAACATGTAAGAAAAGTTCGATTATATTCAGGTGAAAGAGGCATATAACTTGGTGGAAGAAGAATCCAAGATACGTAGAAGATACCATGTTACTGACAGAAAAAAAAGTAACGACTTGAAACAACTTTAAAGGTTAAAGAAGAAAATGCAAAAGCAAGATTATAGGCAACCTTTGGGAAGACAAACACCATGACTACCGAACAATAAACAACTTTAATGTCAACAACAAAGAAATAGAAATTGTTAAAACAATTTTCAATATCTTAGTTCAATCATCCAAAGAGAGACATAGAAGCACACGAACATCACAGGCAAAAGACAGGACGCTTGAATCATGGAAGGGTAGCTATGAAGGAACTTAAAAAAGTCTTTAAATGTAAAACTGAGTCATTGAAAACTAAGGCCAGGAATATTCATGCTGTGGTATCATTGACATTCTCTCCCTAGATGTTGAACTGGATAAACGCATTGGGAAAGCAGCTACCATGTTCTCAAGACTCACAAAGAGAGTAAGTATGGCTCAATAAGCTGATGGCATACACCAAGATACAGGTCTATAGAGCCTGTGTCCTCAGCACACTCCTGTACAGTGGTGAGTCCTGGACCCCTTGTGCACGGCAGGAGAGGAAGCTGAACACGTTCCATATGCGTTGTCTCTGATGCATTTTTGGCATCACCTGGCAGGACAAAGTTCCAAATAGAGTAGTCCTAGATCGAGCTGGAATTTTTACCATGTATACATTACTGAAAAAGCAACGTGTATGTTGGCTTGGGCATGTTGTGAGAATGGCTGATGGTCAGATTCCAAAAGATCTCCTGTATGGAGAATTAGTGCAGGGAAATCGCCCCAGAGGGAGACCACAGCTGCAATACAAGGACATCTGCAAGCGGGATCTGAAGGCCTTAGGAATGGACCTCAACAGATGGGAAACCTGACATCTGAGCATTCAGCCTGGAGGCAGGCGGTGCATCACAGCCTCTCCCAATTTGAAGAGACCCTTGTCCAGCAGGTTGAGGCAAAGAGGCAGTCACGAAAGCAGCAAAATCAGGGAGCTGGACGGGGTACCGATTGTATTTGTCTTCAGTGTGGAAGGGATTGTCACTCTCGAATTGGCCTTCTCAGCCACACTAGACGCTGTTCCAAGTCCTCCATACAGAACGTTACCACAGTTTTTCGAGACTGAAGGATGCCTAAAATATATGGATCAAAAAAAATGAGCAATAAAGATAATGGGGTGGGAAACAATGTTGTGTTAGAGGAGAGCTTTATGGATAACATGGATCACCACAAAGACAAATGAGTTTGAGATCCAGAAGCTGGATAGACACAAGTAATGGTGGATTTCTCATAGAACGAAGTGCTGATATGTCCCTTGAGCAGTTACACAGTGGCATTGAGAAAGTGTACTTATTCAGTAATCTGGACCAAGATTAGGTTGATGGAGGGATGAAAATTACTGAAGTTGTAGCAGAATTTTTCCAATGACACCTTGCTGTGATGAGTCTAGATGACAAAAATATTGTTAATGGATCTCAGACAGAGGAGAGGTTTCTGAGGTACACAAATTAAGGAAGTGTTGTTCCAGGTCAGCCATGACTATGTTTGCATACTGTTGAGTCATGTGTGTCATGATCTGGAGATGTAGCATGTTGCCAAAGCATACATAATTACATGTGACTATGAAGTCACACAGCTTGGTAGCAAGATTTACTATGGCCTCATTTCGAATGGTATTTCTGATGGCTTATAGGCCAACTTGGTGAAGAATATTGATATTAAGTACCTGTACATTCATGATGGCCAGGATGATATTCTCTTGGAGATTATGAACGGACTGTAGTTTTCCTTAAGAAATTAATAATATCTCATATGTAGCTGTGGGTGTTGGTGGCATATGGTGTGAGGACAAGGTCCTACTAAACTGAGACTTAGTTTATTTTCTCTTATGAGTCATAAGGCCTATTTCATTAGTAAATCAGGACCTTAACTTTCTTACTGCAATCTTAGCAAAATGAATTAAGAGTGCTGTTATTATGTATGTGTCATAAGATCAAATAGGCTTAGTGATGACATCAACTTGTAAATGCAATCAGAAGGATGCTGAATATAATATATAACTGCAATAAAGATTTTTTTTAAAAGGTTGATATTAGCACTAGATGCTTTAAAGGTATTTGCCCATACTGAATGGTCACATCCTTTAACACTGTTAGTTAATATTTATTTTGGAAACACATTTGTTTTTCTAGACTATAAAAAAATCTCAGGCATTTATTCACACCAACAAACATGACTCCATTCAAACTGTAAGGAGCAGAAGAATAATACAGGGATGCTCCCTTTCGTCACTCTTTTGCCTTTGCTACTAAACTGTTGGCAAAATACAGTGGTGCCCCGCATAGCGACGATAATCTGCGTGGAAAAAATCGTTGCTATCCGGATTCATTGCTATGCAGGGAAAAAATCCCCATAGGAACGCATTAAAACACGTTTAATGCGTTCCTATGGGGGAAAAACTCACCGCTATGCGGAAATCCTCCATCCAGCTGCCATTTTCGCTGCCCAGTAAGCGAGGACAGGGCACAAAAATGCTGTGGGTGGCCATTTTTTCTTCCGGCGGCCATT